TATGTTATTTTTTATGAATTGGGAATCTATTTTGTTTCCGGATTACTATTTTGACATCTATTTTTATAAATTATGTTATCTTTAAGTTCCCTTTTTATTTTATTTTTCTTTTAGGTTTACAAACTATGTTCTTGTTTTTGTAACCTATATAAAACTTTTAATAATTATTATTATTATAATTTTTCTTGTATATTCTATTTCCCACTTTTTGCTACTTTTTACGCTTAATTTTTTATTACTTCTTTAAATTTATAGTTTTCATAATTATTACTTTTATCCAATATTTATTTTTTATATGTTCCATTTTATTTTTCCTAATATTTTCGATTTTATAATTTATTAATTTATTTTGTATTCCTATGGTAAATTTTCAATTATTTTTTAGGAATTAAATTTGAATATGTTATTTTTTATGACATTCTTATTAATTTTTTTAATTTTAATTTTTATTCAAATTCATTTATATTTTTATTTTTATTTTATTTAATTTTGTTATTTATTTTGTTTTTAATTCATTATTTCTTCTTATTTAATGTTTTGTTTTTAATTTTAACTAAATTTTTGATTTTTTTCATTGAATTTTGTGACTCTTTTTTTATTAACTTAAACATTTGTTTCTTTATTTATTTCCATATTTATATTTTTATTGAAAAGTTATTGTAATTTTTTATTTTATACTTAAATTGTTTACTTTTTAATTAACATTTTTATAAAATGTTATTTGCGTTCACAAAAAAATTTTTTGTTTTTATAATTAATTTATGTCTTTCTTTTACATAATTTTAAAAGTAAGGTTGATTCTGAATTTATAATTAACTCTTGTAACCTTTATTTTAAAACTATTGCTTTTTAGTTGAATTTTGTAAGCGTTATAGTAATATTATTGACTTAAAAAAAAATATATTAATTTTTGTATTTTAATTTTTGGATAATAACATTATTTAATTTTTTATTTTATCGTTTCTTATAATTAACTTTTGTAATATATATTTTAAAATTTTTATTTTTTTGGCTGAATTTGAAATTAATTTTTGAGTTTAACTTTTTGCATAATAACATTATCCAAATTTTCTATTTTATGATTTTTCTTACTTTAGTTTTTCGTTGTTTATTTTTATTTATTTTACGTATTTTTATTTCTGTGTTATTATATTTTAATTTCTATAGGTTTAAATTAAATTTTGCTATTTTTTTCCTCAAATAAATATGTATTTTCTTATTTTTATATCTTAATTATAAAATTTTGGAACATCTTCCATATTAATGTATTTGATTTTTCTTATGTTCAATTTTTTATTTTTCTTATTTTCAAATATTTATTTTATTTATACTTATTCAGTTTGTATTTGTTTTTTTTATTAGCAGGCATATTTATTTGTTGAATTTTCCCAGTATTATTTTCTGTCACATACTATTTTTCTCACAATTATATTTTATTTTATTTATTAATTTCATTATATTATCCGATATTCAGTAATCGTTTTATTTACCATTTATATGTTATTTTTATTAAAATATAATTCTTATAATTATTTTTCGTATGTTAATTAGTTTTTTTTTTAAATATTATTTACATTTATATGTATTTTTTAATTTATTTGTATTTGTTTTCATTCATTTTTATTTTTTACATTTTCCTTCTTACCCGTTTGGTCACCGATTGTTTTTCTTATAATATTTTATTATATATCTTATTATTTTATTGTTGTTTTATATTTTTTATTTCTCCAATTTCACACAGAAGGTTTTGTTTTCAGCTGCAACTCTGCCTTGGTGTTCAACAAATATTTGACGCAACAAATTAATCTTAGTAGGTTCGCTGTTGTGTATATATATTTTAATTTCGTTTATTTAATACTTTATTTTTTATATTTGATTTCATTTTTGTTTAATTTTCACTTTGGTTGTGACGTTATTTTTCTTTTTTTTTTTCAAAAACTTCATCTTCGACAGCTCAGGAAAACAAAACTTACAGTGAAAAAAGTTCTTCCAATTTATTTCTAGGCAGTTAAAAATATTATAAATTACCCATATACCTACGCGTATAATGTTATGTTATATGTTACAACAACTCCTCAATACTCTTCATAGTTTTATATTTTTAAATAATTATAATTGTATTACATTTAATAAACAATAAACTCATTGCACTTCACTATCAAATAAACTGTGTTTTTTAATTTTTGTTGGTAACAGGGAGATACCCGGTAACACATTAGTGTAAATTAAGATATAAACTTTCCAAATTATTTTAATGTATAAACATTTTTTGATGAAGAAGAAGATATTATTTGGTACCACTTCTCACAGGGTGAGATTAAAAATACTGCAAAAAAGTCAAACGCCATAATTCTTACATTTTTTTAATTTTATTGAATGAAAACAAAATATTTCGGAAATAGCATCAAATTTTAGAATAAGTTTAGATTTGTTCTTTTACACGAATTATGGTCTTCAAAAGGCCAATTAACCGTCAGACGCTGCCCGAATGTTGCTCTGCGGTATTTTGTCCCATTCCCGGCGAAGCGCTTACTTGAAGTGATCGACACTTTGGTATTTTTAGTGCCAACCTTGCTTTCCAAAATCCTCCAGACACAATAGTCCAACGGATTGGTATCCGGAGATTTTGGTGGCCATTGTGCGCTGGAAGTGTTTGCGAGCCCAAAGCTTTAATACAACCTCCAGAATATTTTCGCAATAATATTTGGCATTTATTATGATGCCACGTTCGATTAATACGAGCGGAGAGCGACCATCGGCTGTTGCGTCGGCCCACACCATCACCATGATGCCACGTTCGATTAATACGAGCGGAGAGCGACCATCGGCTGTTGCGTCGGCCCACACCATCACCATGGCCGGCGCTTAAGTTGACCTACCGAAGGTGCACATTTTCAGCTGACCTCCTTGGCAAGTAAACACGATCATTTTGTTTGTTTACAAACTGCTGGACTACGAATGTTTTCTCATCGGAGGAACCCAAATTCGGCAGTGCACCACTTTCGGCCAAGCGAAGCAACTCTTTAACTCTTTTGAGTCGCATTCATTATCCGATTAAGATGAAATTTTCCAAACAACATTTGTTTGGCCCAAGGACGAACCCTATTGAAATTGTAGATAATCGGTAAAAATTTAGATATAGCTCCCATATATATCTTCGTCCGATTTGTCTTTTATTGTGCACTAAACGTGTAATATCAGCCCGAATAGTATGGAATTTTGCACATCCAACCAAATTAGGCCTGAAAATAAGTATGCCAAATTTGATCGAAATCGGTTCAGATATAGCTATAGCTCCAATATATATTGTTCATCCGATTTGTTATTTTAGTCTTCCGCAGCCGTAATATGCTCTCTGTAACAACAATATTTGGGGAAATATATCAAATACAGCTCAGAAATACCTTTGCTAAATTTTATCGAGATCGGTTCGGATTTGAATATAGCTCCCATATATAACTTCGTCCGATTTACATTTTATTGTGCACCAAACCTCTAATATTTGCCAAAATGGATTGAAATTTGGGACTTACGACCGTATTGAGTCTAGAAGCTAGTATGCCAAATTTGGTGAGGATCGGTTCAGATATAGCTATAGTTTCCATATATATTCTTCATCCGATTTGTAGTAATTGTTACCCACAGCCGTAATATGCACTCCGTAACAACAATATTCAGGGAAATATATCAAATACAGCTCAGAAATATCTATGCCAAATGTTGTAAAAATCGGTTCAGATTTGGATATAGCTCCCATATATATTTTTATCCGATTTCAAATTAATTGTGCACCAAATGGGCAGTACAATTCCGAATTTAAAAGATACAAATGCTTCGGCATATTTAGTCCTTTGAACTTTAAATTATAATTATAATCATTGCGGGTATGATTGAATTCTCCCATAAAAATTTTTAATTGTTATGTGGGGCTCTACTAAGTTAGCAAAGTGGTGTAGGGTATCATAAAGTCGGCCCGCCCGACTTTAAGACTTTCTTTACTGGTTTTTCGCCTTCTTTACATTTTTTACCCGAATTGTTTCAAATTTCGTATTCGAAGTTCGTGATGGATACTACAGCCTATGACAGCGAATTGTCTGTGGACGATTTGGCATAACCCCTATGTACTAGTACCTCCCTATATTCGGTATTTCGATGATTTCAGCTACATTACTAACTGAATAGACCCTAATATAACGTCTACATTCGATATATTTAAAATTTTACCAGGTTTTTTTTAACGGATTTTATGTTGCTGATTTCAGGAATTGTTTCGTATTTGAAGTACTACAGCCAATGGCAGAGAATTGTATATGCAGGTCCATGTCCTTATATAGACCCCATATATCGGTACCTCTCAATATTCGGTATTTATATATACATTTTTTTTACTTTCTGCACATTTTCTTTATCGATTAAAAATCGGCTTAAGCCCCTCAGAGTATTTTTCGATTCCAGAGTATTTTTCGACACCAGAATCGATTTTTTTTGGTTTAAACTTTAACTTTATATACTGGTTTTTTCTTTGCGTATTTTTCGTTTTCAAAATCGATTTTTTTGGTTTAAACTGTAACTCCTTGAAATTTATCATTTTCCAAAAAGAAATTAACACTTTTATTCCAAAAATTACATAGAACACACATACCATCACAAACATAGATAAGTATGCATGTATGCAAATTAATTAAATAAATATTTCCTGTTGACACTGCTCAGCCAGAGGTTGGAAGCCGAGCATTTGATGCAATGCAATGCACATAAAGATGCAAATGCAAGTAAAGAGATAAATATATATGTGTTTCATGCTCATTTCATTGGAAACAACCCGATGTAAAAATTGTGTAGACATAATTTGTTAAATCGCTTCGAAAAGGGCTCATGAATTGTATATATTTATGTACGAGTATGCGTGCATGTTTGTGGGTACCTAGGTATGAAATATAACCCTTCTCCAGTTTCGTTATCATTTAGCTGCCAAATGATTAATCTGATCTGCTTCCCCTGTCATGAGTTTCAATCATTGACCACAATGAACAAGAGTGCTGTGGACTTCTGCAACTAGTTGCATTGCATTCGCGAAGGCATTAACATCAACGGCAGTGTTTTGAATTTCGTTCACAAGCTGACAAAAGGAAGTGGACTTCCTTGCAGTTCAGGATAAAATTTCTATAATTTCAAAAAAAAAAAAAAAATTAAACGGAATTATTTTAGAGTCTCAAATTTAAATCCGAAACTCTGCAGGTTTGTATGTAAGAAATGTTTAATTATGTGTAGACAAATCGTGGGAGAGTACGATTATTTCGCTGATACTTTGTTGCATAGACAAAGTCTAGTTCGATAACACTGTGTAACATAAAACATAAAAAAAAGCTGTATCTTCGGCGGGGTCGAACTTTGAATTCCCTTCACCATTTGGAACGAATTTTACAATTTTCAAAAAAATAAAATCCGTTACTATGGAGGGCATATTAAGTTTATCATTGCATTTGTAACACCTCGAAATATACAGTTTGCACTCCACAATATATATATTACAGGGTTGCCCATATTCGACGGACCTTTGGGCCCATTCCAATCGAAGAGGCTTGTCCGCAGGCAACATTCTTTGCGTCAATTGAATTTTGTACGGGAATAAATGCAAATCAATGCGAATAATCCGTTGTAAAGTGGACCGAGCCATGTCCAACTGCTGAGAACGGCGTTTTTTGGGATGTTCTTGGGGACCTCTCAACACTGGCTCGTAAGGCAGCGATATTCTTTCCCTATCGCCTTGGTCGACTTTTATATGGCCTCTTCGGATTAGAAAGAGCCTTACCAGTCGTATTTCGTATAAACGCTTAATGGGGTTCTTAGAAGGCGCACTTCTCACATTTTTTAATGTTTTAAAAGCACGATGAGTTTTCACAATTGACTTCTTCTGTTGAATGTAAACTTCAACTATTTCAGAGACCTCGCGTGGCGTGTATTGGTTCATGGTAAAAATCTGCTTGGACTGACGCTTCAAACGCGGTATGTCATTAAGCGATGTGACATCTCCGCCAAAAGTTATGGCGTTGCCAGATGGGTCCGTCGAATATGGGCAACCCTGTATATATTCTTGATCAGCATAAAATTCTATGTCGATTGAGCCATGTCCGTCCGTCTGTCCGTCTGTGGAAATCACTCTAGTTTCCGGACGAAATAAAGTAGGTTGATAAAATTCTACTCAAATGTTTATAATGTCTGCAGGACTTTATTCCCCTAATAATGGTACCTCCCGATATTCGGTATTTTTACGATTTTAACGACATTATGCACCGGAATTGTTTCAAATTTGGCATTGGAAGTTCGACTGAAAATTGTCTGTGCAGCTCCACATCTTCGTATAGCCCCCATATAACGGTACCTCCTGATATTCGGTATTTTGATGATTTAAGAGATATTATACACCGGAATTGTTTCAAATTTGGTATTTGAAATTCGAAATGGATGCTACAGCCTGAGACAGAAAATTGTATGTGCAGGTCCAGGACTTCGTATAGGCCGATTTTGAGGTACAATACTCACCGAAATTATTTGAGATGTCGTATTTGAAGTTCGTAATGGATGCTACAGCGTGTGACAGAAAATTATCTATGCAGGTCCAGGTCTTCGTATAGATCCGATATAACGGTACCTCCCGAAATATTCCGATACGATATTTTGATGATTTTAGCTACATTATTCACCGTTTATTATAAGTTTCGAATTTGAATATCGGAATGGCTTATGACAAACAATGCCTATGTTGATCCACGCGATATAAACCCCAATATAACGGCTTTATTGTGTATTTTTAAGATTTTAACATAATTTTTAAACGGATTTTATTTTTTGAAAATTTCCAAATTCGTTCCAAACGGTGGTTTAAAGAAAGTTTTTAGCTATATTTTAAAAAGAACTAAAAGATTCTTGATTAATATTGCCGACCAAGATGTTCCCAGTATTTTTATCTGCAATATTGCCGAAAATACTATATATCTAAAATGCATGGATTGCGAAGAATCTTAATCCGAAAATTGCCAAAAGTGTGGAAGAGAGTGGAACTTTTTGTTGAAGAATGTCACGACGATTGTGCAAATCCATTGTTGGTTGGTCAGAGTCAAATATGCATTTTTTTAAAATCTTCGGATCAATTTTTACTTAATTTTCTGGAGTTTGATCCTCCAGAGAGATATTGAAAATATCTGAAAATTTAGCGTTTGGCAATGAAAGTTTATGGAAAATAGCAAATCATAAATAAGGTTTATGATTGCGTGTGTAACCAGTTGTCAGTTGTGTTCCGCTTATTTAAATTAAACCTCAATCTTTTCTCTTAAGCTACGATCGTATTGAAAATATTCTCACCTACCAACTAATTTATCTACTCTTCCACAGTATGTCGAACAATTTTATTGTACCTGAGGACTCTTATTGCGGCCTCTGCAGGCGGAACCATCCACTGCGAAAGTGTCGGCGATTTCTGTCCATGCCGTATGATACTAAACTTGATTTCATCGAAAGAGAACGGATTTGCCGCAATTGCCTGGGAACTACGCATACGGTGCGATACTGCCCCAGCAAGGATTACTGTCACAAATGCCAACGAAGTCACAATACCATACTTCACTATTCCGATGAGGATTCTCACAGTGTTCAGCTGGAAATGACAGCAATGGTGTATTTGGCTGAATTTACCAACGAAGAAGGTGTTCTCTGGAGAATCCGTTTGGATCCAAGTCAAGCATATTCCTCAATTGCTGCGTGGTCGATATATAAAATTCGAACGCTGACAAATTTCAAACTGTGTCCCGAAACAGTGCTCGTTTATTTGTGGTCTCGATTTGATGGTGGGGAAAGGCATAAGGTCCAAGCTAATCTCAAGGTCGTCGACCGGCCAATGGAGAAGACACCAAAACTGCTGCTGAAGAGAGATAACATTTTGCGTAGAGTGAATAAAATCAGTGTAGCCGATGTTCATTTTTGGAATCCCGATTATGCGCCCATAACCTTGGGATCCGATCTGGCGACAAATATTTATATTGGGGCACCGAAAACAAATCCCATGCTGCCGATGAGCCAGTGCACCATATTTGGTTGGACATTTTTTGGCCATGTTAAAAAGGCTGATATTAAGGAGGAGAGAGATAAAAAGAAGAAAAAATAAATAAATAACTTAAAAAAAAATAACAAATACAAATAGTTTTTGTTTTTTAAAAGGAAATGCCTGTAAAGTTGTAGCCAATGGGGAAAAACAACCAAGATTCCCGATTGCTGGCGCCATTCCCCAACTTAACTATCCACAATCCCTGGCCTGACCCTTCTGCCATCAACGAATTCCCTTTGCACGATTTGAACTTGCCGTCTAAGGCTATAGCAGACTTCTTTCTCAGTTGTTAATAAGACAGAAAATTGTCTGTGCAGGCCCACGTCTTCGTATAGCCCAAATACAGCGGTACCTCCCGATATTAGGTATTTTGATGATTTTAGCGACATTGCTCACCGGAATTGTTTCAAATTTGGTATTTGAAGTTCGAAATGGATGCTACAGCCTGAGACAGAAGTTTGTCTCTGCAGGTCCACGTCTTCGTATAGGTCCCATACAGCGGTAACTCCCGATATTCGGTACTTTGTTGGGTTTAGCGACATCAATCGCCGGAATTGTTTCAAATTTGGTATTTGAAGTTCGAAATGGATGCTACAGCATGAGACAGAAAATTGCCTGTGCAGGTCCACGGCTTCGTATAGCCCCCATATAACGGTACGCCCGATATTCGACATTTTGATGATTTTAGCGACATTATTAACCGGAATTCTTTCAAATTGTTCGTAATGGATACTACAGCATATGACAGAAAATTGTCAGTGCAGGTCCACGTCTTCAGTGCAGCCCAAAGTCAAAGAAGTGGAAGTGGACGGAAGAAAACATCAACATCAGCATAAATGGTTCGAAAAGTAAAGAAGCAACTTGATCGAAACCCGCGTCGCAGTGGTCGAAAAATGGCTCATGAGCTGAACATATCGCAAGCTTGGGGTAAAGCCATAGAAATTCCAAATTCTCCGATGAGAAAATATTCGTTGTTCAGCCGAACAATGTAAAAAAACAAAACGATGGTGTTTACTTACCAAAGAGGTCAGCTGAAAATGTGCACCTTAGGTTGGCCACCAGAACTCAAGCGCTGGCCATGGTGATGGTGTGGGCCGCCATAACAGCCTATGGTCGCTCTCCGCTAGTGTTAATCGACCGTGGCATCAGAATAAATGCCGAATATTATCGTGAAAATATTTTGGAGGGTGTATTAAAGCCTTGGCCACGCAAACATTTTGGCCGCAGATCTTCGACATTCCAACAGGACTCAGCACTATCGCACTCAGCACGCGCCACCCAAGAATGGTTACAAAATGAGGTTCCTAGCTTCATTTTCAGCGCACAATGGCCACCAAAATCTTCGGATACCAGTCCGTTGGACTATTGTGTCTGGAGTATTTTGGAAAGCAAGGTTGGCATTACAAAATACCAAAAGGTCGATCTACTCAAACTAGCTCTTCGCCGGGAATGGGCAAAAATACCACCGAGCAACATTCGGGCAGCGTGTGACTGTTTCAATGGCCATTTGAAGGCCATAACTCGTGCCAAAGTGACCAATTCGAACAAATCTAAACTTATTCTAAAAATTGATGCTATTTGCGACATTTTTTGCTTTCATTCAATAAAAATAAAAGATAAATAAATAAATAAAAATAAAAAATTGTAAAAATTATGGCTTTTGACTTTGTTGCAGTTTTTTTTTATCTCAACCTTTAAGTGCCCGATTGTCTTCAAATTGAACACATCGCAATAGTTTTATTAACCTAAGATCTGGTGTGAAGATGGAATATATCGGTGGACTCCTTTTGGTACCTCCCCCACAAAAGGTTCAAAATTTTGAATACCCATGAAGCTCATTAATTGCGAAATTAACATCCGATTCCATTCAGTCTTAGTACATCTCAATATTTCTATCAACAGAAGATCTCTCATAAAGATGGTAGAGATCCGACTATTTCTTCTGGTACCTCCCCTACATAGGGTTCAAAATTTGAAAAACAAAACGCCCAAAGAAACTGAAATAAGCGTCCAACTATCTTCAAATTCTTCCACATAAATATTTTTGCTAACACAAAATCTGTTGTGAAGATGAAATATATTTGCGAACCCCTTCTGATGCCTCACACACAAAGGCTCACAATTTTCAATACTTTTATCTGTCATTACCTGCTAAAAAAGTCAGCGATTCCTTACAACTTTTACCTCCAGATATTCCATATTTTGATGAGCGGAAATATGTCAAATTTTGAATTTTAAGTTCTTAATGGGCTCTAAAACCCATGACGAAAAATTGTCTATGCAGATCCACGTCTTCATATAGTCCTCATATAAGGGCACCTCCCTAAATTCGGTATTTTGATGATTTTAACGACATTATTCACCGAATTTGTTTCAAAAAATTACTTAACGGTTGTCATAAAGTTGTACTTTTCGACGGATTTTTTTAAATTTTCAAGTTCTTTCCGGATGATGTTGATGGGCATTAAAAGTTTTCTCCTGCCGAACTTAGGTGCTTTTTAACTTATTTTCGATATCATAAAGGAAAAGTCACTTATCGTGGTGACACGTTTCGTTCTTGCAGATGCTGGGACAAAGCATTTTTATTTCGGGTGACATACTCCTGTGGAAAAAAGGGTTACTAGGTTGCAAGTAGTTACAACTGCCAAAAAAAAAAAAATGGTTAGCAATCGCATTATTTGGTAATGAAAATTTTTGTTGGATACTTTTACATTTACAGATTTAGATGTTGTAAACTCTTTACTCTCTCTCTATATATATATCTCTCTTTTATTATTATTAATTTATTGACCTCAAAAGTTAATCATACATTAAATAGATATTTAACACACGATTTGTAATTTCACAATAAGCGATATAATTGGAATTTAATTGCATTAAAAATAATTAGACGGGCAATGACTTATGTACAGTGGAGGAAAAAGTTAATGTTCATTATACAATCCATTAGAATAAAAATAAAAATAATGCCATTAAACCGAGCTAGCTACCACACAAGCCCTCCCCCCCAAACCTATTTGATCAACGTATATTTACGTTTATACCGGTAAAACAATTATGTTATTAATATATTGATTTGTTAATATATTGATTTTCTTGCCATTAAAAATGAAAATAGTCAAAACTAATGGAAAAAAATAGCACAAGCAAAATATTTGGTAACTACAGGGAGCGTAAAAATCTATTACAAGGTAATATAAGCAATATTACCTTATGCACTACCAGCAGTGTGAAAAAATGGGCTATTCCTCCAAAATTAATCCACGGCACCACAATGAACATAAAATTCTTAGTCGATTTAGCGATGACGGTCTCTCTGTCCGCCTGGCTGCCCGTTTGTTGTAATCACGCTATATTTTAAACGAATTGAGATAGAAAGCTAACATTTTGCCCACATGTGTATTTTACCAGTACATAAATGGGTCATGTCGGTCCCCGTCTTCGTATAGCCCCCAGGTACTGTTACCTCTCAATATTCAGTATTTTTATTATATTAGCGACATAATTCAACTAAGTTGTTTAAAATTTCGTATTTGAAGGTCCCAGTGGGTAATGCACCTCTACAGCCTATGGCAAAAACTGCGTATGCAGGTCCACGTCTTCGTTTACCCACCATATAATGATAACTCCCGATATTCGGTATTTTGATGATTTTAGCGACATTATTTACCGGAATTGTTTAAAATTTCGTATTTGAATTTCGGAATCTGTGCTACATTCTATGAAACACAAAAAAAAAACAGTAAGGAAAGCTCAAAAGTCGGGCGGGGCCGACTATATGATAACCTACACCACTATGCATATTTAGTAGAGCTCTCGTAAAAAGGTTTATACAGGGCATTTCAGAGCTCTATGAGATATTTGGTACAAAATCAAAATCTATCTAATTCTATCGTGCATTTTACGAACTATAGCTATCTCTGAACCGGGTTTCTCCAAATTTGACGTATTAGCTTTTAGACTGAATTCGGTCTTATGTACGAAAATTCAGGTGATTTGGGCTGATATTGACCATTTAGTGCACAATTTACACGAAATCGGATGAAGATATATATGGGAGGCATATCCAAATCGGAACAGATTTTAATAAAATTAAAATCAACTATTTTTGGGCTTTATCTGATATCTGGTACCAAATATCATTCCTGTGGAGTGCATATTACGAATGTGAGGAACTTAAAGACCAAATCGGATGAAAGATATATATGGGAGCTATAGCTATATCTGAACCGATTTTTACTAAAATTGGTGTACTTGCTTCTAAGCTGGTTTCGGTCGGATTTGCCAAAATTGATGCTATTACGGCCATTTGGTGGTCAATCATCCAAATCTGAACCGATTACGATAAAATTTAAAACAGCTATTCCTGTGCTCCATCTAATACCTGGTACCAAATATCACGGTTGTGGAGTAAATATTACGAATGTAAGGGACTAAAACACTAAATCGGATGAAACATATATATGGTTGCTATATCTATATCTGAACCGATTTTCACTAAATTTGATATACTTGCTTCTAGGCTGAATTTGGTCCGATGTACTAAAATTCAGTCCATTTGGACTTATATCGGCCATTTGGTGCACAATTAACCCGAAATCGGATGAAGATATATATGGGAGCTATATCCAAATCTGAACCGATTTCGATAAAATTACAAACACCTATTATATTATATATCTGGTACCAAATATCATTCTTGTGGAGTGCATATTACGAATGTGAGAGGCTTAAACACCAAATCGGATAAAACATATATATGGGAGCTATAGCTATTTCTAAACCGATTTTCTCCAAATTTGTTGTATTTGCTTTAAGGCTAATCTCGGTCACATGTGCCAAAATTCGGGCCATTTGGGCTGATATTGGCCATTTGGTGCTCAATTAACCCGAAATCGGATGAAGATATATATGGGAGCTATATCCAAATCTGAACCGATTTCGATAAAATTTAAAACAGCTATTTCTGTGCTCCATCTAATTCTTGGTACCAAATATCACGGTTGTGGAGTGCATAGTAGGAATGTGAGGGACTTAAAGATCAAATCGGATGAAAGATA